GAATGACAAGTGCCTGAGAATTCAAACTCTTCAATAGATTGTTGTTGTGTTACTGGAATGTTTCACAGTGAGACCTTCAGTGCGGACCTGTGTTCTCTGCACGTTTTGTGAGTTGAGAGTGTTGTTCACCGCGTAGGAGTGACTTCGATCCGAAGTAGGTAGTCCAAACCGGGTTTCCTACGCTAGCAGCAAGCTAGTGGAAGTGTTGTAAAAGCCGGAGTTGGAAGTCACTACCCGCAGCTTCGCTGAGTGTGCTCGCGAGAGACTTTCCCCCTGAAATCTTGAGTAGAGGTCCTAACGGATCTCTGGGTTGTGTTTCTATAGTTTCAGGTGTGTGTGTGTGTGTGTGTGTTACGCTGCACTGTGCGACCTCCGAGTGCGCTCCGAGTGGACACTTGCAGTATTTCTGGGAGTGACAGTCGCCTGAGAATTCAAACTCCTCAATAGTCTGTTAAACGTGACACTTTGTACCCTGTGTGTTCCTCTGTCCCTGTGGGTTCGACCTTTCTACCACTATATTGCAGTTTTAGCCTTTAGTGGGTTATTACAAACTCAATGAAAAATGTTGATGATATATGTATTCTAGATATTTTTTGTTATTAACACATTTGGTTTATTGAAGTTTTTTTTGGTAATTTTTACATATCAAAAGGTTAAAATTTTATGAAAAACATAAATACCTTGTAAACTAAAATAATTGGATTTGCTAAGATTTTTGATAAAGTGAAATTTACATTCATTAAAGTCTAATTTATACTTACTTTGAGAAAGAATTTAATCTTTTTGAAAATGTCAAATTGAAAAAATTTTGAGTGAAGTTTTTTTTAAAGTGAATTATTGTGAGAATAGATGATTAGTTTATGTGAAGAGAACACAAACATGAAAATTTTTTTATGATAGAATATATAACCATATCTAGTGAATTCAACTTTACCAAATTTCAAATCGAGATGGTTCATGTACGACATTTTAGACTACAACACAAGAGTAGTAGATATTTGATAATACTTGGCAATAAAAGCTTGTCACTTGAACTAAGTTAAGTTGATTTATAGTTTTATGAACAAGGTATTATGTGCAAATATCATAGTTAAATCTTTGATGTTGAAAATCACAATTGCAATGAATCATTTGAGTATGTGAGGAGTGATATGTGAAGATCTTACCAAAACATTCGCTCTATAAAATACATATAGTTTAAAAAAAACTAAGCGTACTTTATTGATGATTATTCAAAATTATAAATAATTTTTTTCATTCAAAAATTAAAGTTCTGAACAAATTTTAAAAGTTCAAAAATCCAAGTTGAGACTTAAGTAAGTACAAAAAATGAGATTTCTGTGCACGGATAATTCAAAATTCAATGAATGATAAGGGTTTAATTCAATGAAAAATTATTTGTCATTTCATCATGATTTATACTCTACAACAAAACCTTGATTGTATGAGTATGTTGTGTTGGCGTCATGTGTATTCGAGCATGTGCTTGTGCTCTCTCATATAATTTTTGTTTGTTCATGAAAGTGAGGTGATTCTAAACATTACACCTTTCAATGATGAGTGCAAGTTTGTCATTATAGATAGCAAAAATGATTTGAGACGAAGTCACATCATAAACTTCTAAAAGTTTACTACTAAAACCTGCGTTGTTATTACATATGTGATGGATTTTTGCGAGATGAAATACTCTGGTATTATACTTTTGCGTTTATAGAAAAATCAGAGAGTTATCATAGAAGTTCATGTGTGATGCCGATATTAAAGCAGATATGAGAAAAAGTTAATTCGCAATATTTTGGCTCAACAAGATAAGATTTTACACATGTAGATTGGATGAATGGTTATGTTGATAGAGATTAAAGTTGACACTTTATTATGATTTGTGTTAGTTTTGGGAGTGTATTTTCTAGAGGCTCCTGTGCTTTTTTTAGAATAAGATGCAAAGATTTTTTTATCTGAAAGCTATATAGGGATATAAGGTTTCAAAACTGAATATTGTTGGTATCATTGAAGGAGATTAGTTCATGTAGAACTCTAATTCATCGTTTAATATTTTAGAAAAGTCAACTCTACATTGGAAAAATTCAATATATGGGGTATACTTTGATGAATAAATGTTATGATATGTACCGTGAATTGAGTTAAGGCGACACGTTGGTCTACAAATTAAAATTCTATTACTTTTTCAGACATGCAATTGTAAAAAAGAGTTAAATTTTTAATTTGTAGAAATAAATTAGACTTGTGTACATCTTATTTATTAGTAGGAGATATAGAATGAGATTTGTATATACCAAAATTTTGTTAAGCCAAAGTTTCCTCGTTCATCAATAATGAGCGAAGTCTGATCCCTCATGATTCATGAGGGATCAGAGAAAAGTTCTAATACTTCATGAGTCATGAAGTATTAGAACTTTTCTCTACCGAATCCATGGCATCAAGATGAGGCCACTATGACTTACGAGCACGACAGCAGGAGCACGTCTCTCCGCTCTGACGAGGAAGCTGCCATCCTGCAAAACGAAAGCAGGCAGGTTTCTGCAGGCTTGCAGGTGGCCAAGTTAATAAAAAGGTGGTCGAACACTGCAACGTTGATTTATGTTGCAGAAATGCTCCACGGGACAGAAACGAACCTTCCACGCTTGTTCCTGGACTGTTCATAATTTGTCCATTACAAGCTTTGGTTCCCATGTTTTTATAAGCTTTTCACTGAACTGGTAAACTGATGTCTCTCTCGATAGATGTGAGGGTGAAATGGAAGGATTCAGCTGCGGCTGCAACTTCATAATACAAGCAAGTAACCAACCTCCGACTCGATGTAGAGGTTACCGATTGAAACGTTCTTTTGGAATTGATGTTGAAAGATTGACACCATGGTGTCAGTCTTGCTTCACTAACCAAAGTTTTCAGGAGCTCACTTCATCAGACCCTAAAGTGTCACTCAGAGTATGATGAGTGCAGTCTCTTTTCAAGCGAGCCACTTGTCGTTGATAATCTAGATACCGAGTCTCCTCTATGTACCCTGACATATATGAACCCCGGCTATCATCAACTAGGCAAATCTACTTCCAGAACTGCCCTTGTGGAATCATGCCACAGCGTTGACTCCTAGAGTTCTATCTAACAAAACTAGGCTCTACGAGATCCAGACTCTATCGAGAGCCTTGTCTATCTTAGTTTCAGTTTGTTTGGAGACGTTTGTCGATGTTTGGAGACTTTATTGGGTTGACAATTTACAAAGACACTGTCAAATCAAGTCGACACTATGACTTGAGACGATTTACCGGCATGCGACAAATGATCTCGCTGACCATATTCTCTAAAGATGATATTCGTCTTCGTTACGGCTAACAGGAACAAGTCCAACAGGGCAACGGACTGCCCCTGAGATGATCAATGCACGTGCAATCTGCACAGTGATTTGGCAGAATGAGTTTATTGGTGAGGACAGAGTAAGGCAAGTGTCCTGACTCAACAGAGAAACAATCCATCTGGCACTGTGGATCTTAATTAATATGATCGCGTGATGTAATTTGTTTCTGGCTGTCGCAAAGGACCTCCGGAGTTCAGATCAAGCATAAACGAATCATTATCAGGTTAAACAAATACCATTTCCGGTCTGATTTAATACCCTCGCAGGTATTGGCCAATCGACGTCTGTCTGTACAAACGCAATCTGCGCAGCCTTCTTCACTGCAATGTACGTGTGAGCTCGCCACCTTCACTTTGTCATTATGGGTGGACACAACTGGATCAGACAATATTATTGTTCTCCTTAATGGAGAGGCATGTGCGTAAAGACAGCAGCTGGAATTCTTAATGATTCACATGTCCATCGGTCCGATGAGGAGACTTGAAGCTTGTGTTTCGAACACCCGAACCAAATGGCCGCCAAGATCTACGCGCCGTCGATGTTCCTCCCTCACTGTTCAGTACATGAGACCCCGGCTACGAGGTCGAGGACCTGCATCCCTATGCCTCGGTCCTGAACGGCGAGATTGCATTCTTTCCGAGTCGGCAGCGATCCTCATAAACACGCCAGATAACTTGCAGTTGGAATAAAAATTGTAAATGCGGTCGAGACTCTCGATTTGCACTACGCGGTTTGTTGTTGACAAGTGCAATCCTGGGTGTTGTTCCCGGGAAAGATGCACCGGCGTGGAGTTAAATCCAGTTTTCCCTGACTGCTATGGTCGAAATCATTGCGACCACAGTCTCAGATACAGCGGGTCTGCAGCAGCGCAGCCGAATCTTCAGGACGTACACAAGGACTCGGACTTGCAACTTCCATGTCGAATCAGACGGTCTTTCCATCTTGCACGAAATCGCACGAAACATCGAGCTTATCTCTGTCTGAAACACGACCTTCTCTGGGACAATGCACCGGGCAGTTAATGATGACCTCCGCAGTACTGTTTCTCGGTACTATAGTTGTCCTCCGTATGGTTTGCATCAATTTAAAAATTTCTCTCATAAAAACGATGGAATCCAGGCGAGGCCCTGCCATGAAGCACGGAAATTCATTTGTGAGACCTGAAGCCATGACGAATACAGCAAACAAAATATCTAGACAGTGGTAGACACATTAGCGACGGTGTACGATCATAAGTAACTCGGGCATGCCATGATTGCTTCTGACGCCGAGGAACACAGCTTTCAGATCCCAATGAAGCAGAAGGTGGTGTGTGTAAAGGACCGTATACTACAGTATTCCATGTTTACTGCAGATCGTCGTATGTACACCCAAGTGCTTTTGCGAACCTCGTGGTTCATCTGGGATGTTCTTGTTGTGTGTACATACGTTCTCGTGGTTGCTCTGAGTTGCAATGAAGGTGGGAAATGGCTGGTGGTGGAATTCGCACCGACTGGTTGCCACTTTCTACATTGAATGGCCTGACAAAGTCGTCTGACAGTGCAGTAAAACTGCTTTGATTCTGATCTGCCTATTGAAGGTGAGAAAGGCAGTCCTTCAGAGGACTTGCTAGTGATACACCGCTTTCCACCGGGAAATCAATTACAGGACAGTTAGCATTCGACAAGCCTACTGCTATCACCGCGTAGGCGCGGTCTCGAGCAATGGCTCCGGCCGAGCTTGAAAGCGACTCCTAGGTTCCCCATGATTGAACTTGCAGCCGTCAACGAAGACTTGAGGATCCACCGCGATTGACCTCCACTTTCGAAGCCTTCATAGAGTCGTAGACTGTCGGAAAGCTCGAGATTCAGATCTTCTGAGATTCTTCGAAGCCTAGCTTTCTTACCAATCCTCATGATGCATTTCACAGCTTTTCCGCGGCCCGTTTGATTTTGCGTTGGAGCACGTGGCAATGGTTTGATCTGAATCCTGAGCAGCACATTTCGTATTACATGGCCATGTAGAGCGGCTGGGGTTGTCTGCTTCCACAGCCTTTGGATTTATCGAAGGGAACAACAAGTTATCCGCCATGGCTTCCTTGCGCTCATCAGCATTGGCATCCGTATTCCTAAATCTGCTGGAGCTTTCGTTCGTTCTCGGACAACAGGGCAAGCCAACCAGCCTGTGCGCCGAGCTCATAGTGCCGAAGGGCTATCCCTGCGATGAGATCATTGTAAGATTACTGTGCCACGAAACGTTGTACTGGAAGAATCAGAAAGAATGCAGCGCAATACATCTTGTCGCCATATCTTTTGTCCGATATTGACGTCCTGTGAAAAGACTGACTGAACTGACAACTGATGGCACTGGCTGAATCGAGCAGGTGGAAACAGCTGATGGTTTTCTCTTGGGTCTACAACACATTCCTCATGGAGTAGCTGCACCCAGTGGACCTGCTGGCCCTGCAGTATTGCTGCTTCATGGCCTCAGTGCGGTGAGATTTCTACATTCTAAAGTTCTGAGGAAACTGCGCAAGAATTGTATACCCGGAACATCTGAGAATTTTGAATTATCCGTGCTATATAGGCGCAGTACATCCGAAATGAGGCTTCTGCTTCTCTTCTCTTCCAAGTTGTAAAATTTGTGTCAGTAGACTGCTCTCGTGAAGTTGGTGAGCTGAGGTGAGGTGATGCTGAAGGTTGTAATCCGACATCGACATAAGTGGTGGTTCCGATGACTGAGATCTGAAATACTGACACTCCTCATGTCGTAGGCAGGGGACAATTTTGTTGTGAACGATCCAAAAGAAGACTTGGCTTTAATCTTGGCTGACTCCGGATTTGACGTCTACATTGGAAGCAATCGTAACACCCAGTGGAGCCATGGCAGCTCCAAGTACAAGCCAGAGGAGAAGGTTCGGACGTCACCTTTGGGCGATCTCGGTCCATCTTTTTGGGTCTAGAATGTACTTCTGTGCATAATACTTCATCCCTTGACGACTTTGTTGGGTTTCCCATGCTTTTCCCTATCATACTCGCGCCTCTCTTCAGTGCAGATCAAGAGTTTTATATTTTACCGAATATTCTGAGACATGACATATTTTGATGTACCTAGAATTCTCAGACCCTATGAAGATTCTCATCTGCTGCAAGACGCCGGCGATCTTTTGATTGACAGCTTCTGCATCTTCAACTGTAGGCCTACTGGGACTGGAGTTTGGACGAGCTATCATCTTACGACGTGCCTGCTTTTGTGGACTATGTGTATAACAAAACGGGCGGCTCTAAGCTCTTCTATGTGGCCCACTCTCAGGTGTGGTATTTGGCTTTTTGCTGCATGTCCAGTGTGTTCGTTTACAATCCCTGGAAAACCACCTGTAATGTAATCTTGGCATTCAATCATAAGCTCCTCACCGCGCATGCATGATGATAAGAATAAGAGATATTTTTTAAAGAATGCACAGAACAGCTTTCCTGTGTTTCAGGAAGCTGCTCTGTCTCTGTTTCGGAGAATGAGGTCTGGAACATTGCATGCTCGCGAATCAGCGAAACTGGTTTCGGAAATGTGGGTCATCTTTTCACCTACTCGGAACCTTTGAAGCTTCATTGTATTCGTAAGATCTAACATGTTGGTTTGAGCTCTGTGGGTGAAGGGTACCTTGACATTGTATGCCGGACTTAGCGGTGGAGGCCCTGCAGCAGAACAGATGAAGGACAAGTTGAGAGGAGCAGTCTTTTTGGCTCCATCAGCTTACGTAACTTACCTGAATGCTGCAATTCCAGCAATAACTTTCGATGTTTACGCGGATCAGGTAAATTAGATGGACATGTATCCATTCAGCCAATCAGGAATATCCCGGCCCTTTCATTCGATAACAGTATTAAGCCGCTGCGTCTTGTATGTTGTCTTAGATTGGAACCTACAAAACAAAATGACTCTCGCACAAACTCCTTGTTCTAAACTAAATTCGATCCTTGAGTTTCCACACCTAACTCAAATTTCCGTATGCCTCGTGAGTATACTAACTTCTGCCGTGGTTTTGTGGAGCAGATTCTTCCTATTTTAGGCGTTGGCCCGGCGGACTTTAACCAGTAAGACCCACGATTTTAGAATGTTTCCACGATTAAAATGTCTGGAATCTGTTTCTTAAAAGGCTGTAGCTGAGCTGACGAATAAAATAGCTAGGTAGTTCTTTCCTTGAAAAGGACATCGGGATCGATGTAAATCTCTCGAGCTGATTGGTTGATTTTTACCTTGAGAGGGTTTTTAGAGGACAGCGACTCTGATGTTATTTAAACAACATGTGTTCTCTTCTCGTCATTTCCATGCTACTCTGTTTTTTATCTGAACAATTGTTAGGATGCATGGCTGAACTACTGCCTTCTGTGTCCCTTGCGCACAGAATTCTTAACATCGTGTGCAAAATTAGCCCACCCGCCTGCTCAGACTTCTTTCTTGGATACATAGGTAACGTGCTCTCTCTAATCACCTGTGTGGAACAGTTTTTGGATCAACCATGCTTTAGCGCCATATGAGAACTAAGTTATTTCGGACAACATTGAAGATCAATCCTCGTTTTCTTCTTTCAGGAACGAACAGCTACATCAATGATACTCGCAGGCCTACGTATCTCAAATACTTTCCACAGGCAACCTCATCCTACAACATTAACCATTTTGGCCAGAGTAAGTTGAGTCCAATGCTGATGCTGAATATTTCCAACTGCAACAAATCATGTCAATCGAAGTCCAATTGTAATGCTTAATCTTTTACCATACACTCACGAGGAGTAAAATGGGAAGACTATAAGACATTAGTTTGTTACCTAACTGCCCGGGTAGCTGTTCTCATGCACCATGACTCTCGACTATCTCATTCACCAATTTTTTATAGATGGATTCGTCCCATCTTAGCCATCTAGTTTTCTGAACAGAGCAAATGACGCATGCATAATGTCTCGGTACAAGTCTCATGATATGATTGATGTTCAGGTCTTCAGTCTTGAAAATTCGCCTCATTTAAAAACGGGTGGTTTCTTTGCAGTTAGAAGATCTGGAAAATTCCAGAAGTACGACAGAGGAGCTGCAGAGAATTTGAAGGTTTACGGACAAAAAGATCCACCACTCTATGATCTCTCCAAGTATCCGTCCGAAAGCTTCCCACAACTGTTTTTCATCGGAGGCAGAGACCAAGTAGCGAACCCTCGCGACGCTGCAAGACTTCTCAGCGAGCTCCCGAGCACTGGAGATAGAGAAGTTGTTACTCTTCCAGATTACGGTCATGAGGACTTCGTCTTTGGCCAGAGATCTTACATAGACGTGTACCCAAAGATTATCTCTTTCTTTAGAAGCAAATAGATAGCCGATTTGCTTCTAGAGAAATTTAATTTAACTTTCATCAAATATGCAGTCTCTAAGATAGAGGTAAAGAATTTTCCCTCTGAGTTTTTTCTTAGTTGGAAAGCATCATGGTATTTAATGAGAGTCACATTTTGCAAAGAAGCGAAGCTGGGATATTCGTCTGGGTAAATTACGGGGAAGGTGATTTAATGATCTATGATCTGAGTACCTATGGGTCTGATCTGATCAGCTGATCAGCAACTGTATACGACAATGCCAACGGTACACCGTATTAAATGTGTCCGTATTTTCAATGCCAGAATTTTGCTTATCATTTTCGATAGGTACATGTTGAACGGGCTAGGTAGAAGCCAATCCAACGAGAGGGTTGTGGATCTAATGAGTACTATCAATAATTTCGTCTTTTGAATGTACTTGTCGTACGAGAGACAAACAGGTTCTAGATTTTTCACACAAATCTGATGTGCCAAAATCTGATGTTCTCAAGTATTTGAGCACTCTCTTTATTGTACATCTCAAGCATAAACTCTGCATCGTGATTGCCAGACACTGTCAGGGAATAAATGCGTATTGCAGTAAGCTTCGTCGCAGCTGTGCAAACGAGTTAAATAGAGCGTTGTGTAGTTGTTCAGTACTACGTTCGATGATGGCCCCTCCTTGTGTACTTGGGATACTGTTCTCACCCAAGTAGCACAACATCGAGATACGAACCACGAAAGGAGGATGCGGAAGAGGGGCATTGAATGTGAAGTTTCGCAGAAAAAAACTGTAGGCCCCTTGCAAATTGGAGTACGGGGTTACAGTACTTAGGGTTAGTACTTAGTACTTAGAGAACAGTTGAAGCGAATGCCGTAATGGGGCGATTCGGCTTTCACTGCAGGAACACAAACGGAATTCAGGCCTCACTGCCATGTTCTGGCGTGAACACCTGACAGTTCATGCTTATCGCTTGCCACGTGCAGCTAAAAGAAGGCATCGAATTTATTCTCTTTTACGTTGGTCGGCTGATAAGGACCATGAATTGTTGGACGCACAAAACAGATAGAACGTCCACAATATCATTTCAAACTAATCAACTAATGTTGATAATGTTGAGAACTATCTAGTGCCTTAGACCAAACTTCTCTAGTTGTACTTTACTCATAGGAGCTAAAGAGTCTTCTCAACACCAAAATTTGTTATTGGAAATTGAAAGTTCATGAATGAAAGAGTCATTTGTCTTCCAAGATAGATATTACACTCATATGTCAAAATACGTTACGCTGCAAACTTCAAAATATATTTACCTCTTTGGACACTAAATTCTAAACTGGAAGCAGTAATACATTTGTGCACTCTTTGAAGTCATCTTTTGTAAATGATTGAAGTAAGAATACTTTATATTTGAGGACAAACTTATTTCAGAGATTTCAAACATGTATCACATTTTGTAACTTATATTTTCATGCCAATATTCATAAATGATGACATTGACATGTATTCAAGACGATGCGATACACATGACAAGAAATGGTCATGAGAAAATGAAAACAGAAATTAACACCAGAAGTACGCGGTCATCTTATTGAGCTTACGAGGATTTAAAAAAAAATATCCTACTATTGGATATTTTCTTATAAAATAGTTGATATAGTATCATAAATAACCATATTTGAATAGATTACTATTAATCTGTGCCTATGATTAATCAATGAACATAAACTCTGAACATATTTTTAATTTACTCAAGATATCCAAAGAATAGTGCTAAAAGCATTTTTCTTTGCATATTCATGCAATTTCACCTGTATAATGTAACATCACAGCCATGTTGGAAACGATTGATTTTCTCTAACTGAGAACATGTGAATAATGTTCGGCGAAAACCTCCACCCTGCCCTGTCAAAGGTTACCATACTGTACCAAACAAAGGACTTCCATGCAAAGGGAAGGGTGGAATTTTATTTCCGTCAATGATGTGCAGGATTCATCTTCACTTCCTCGAAGTGAAGCAAGTACATATGATACACATGAGTCCCATGTTATCAAGCTCAAGTGCAAAAAATTTCCGGTAAAGGGTTTACATATCATTTCTCTACCGTTGGACAAATGGAGATGACTTTGGAGATCACATATCATTTCTCTAACTTTAGACAAATGGAGATGACTTTGGAGAGAAAGAGGACGGGAAAGTCGTTCGGCCAGCACAGTGACCGGTGGAATTTAATACTAGGCGATGTTGTTGTCTTCGACCAAGTTGAGCTTCACGAACTTTAGCTCTAGATTACGGGTAGAGAATATAAAGGTTGAACATTAGATTCTTGAACTTGAAAATTGATGTATTTCAGAAGAAGTCTTCATTTACTGCAGCTCAGAAGCAAGGATGGCTATGACACACATTGCGTGAATAACATCGTAACAGTAGATTGAGGAGTGTCCCGAATCGGGAAATCCAGCAGGAGGAGTAAGACAAGATTCTGATTGTGGTAAATCTCTCGTTCGAACAGTTTAATGGAAGGTCTGAGTATATCTTTTACAATAGCTTTAATGTTCAAAACTGGACTTCAGCGAGATTCTTTCTCAAAATCTGGCAAGTCAAAATTATACTAACGTCATTAATCAGGCTAAGGGTATACTTTCAAAACATATGATTCCCTCATATCCAGTTATATGTATCATTGTAATCACTAACATGATTTCATCTCCTACTAACAAACAACTTGTAGCTTTTGTCTAGAAAATGGCTATACATGAGAAAAAATCGATGTACGCGATTTTAAAGCATAGACCTCAAAACAAAATTAGCTTGTGATGCAAATTGTATTCTACATTTAGAAGAATATCTTTCCGAAATAATAATAAATCTTACCAAGTTTGGTCACTTCATCGCTCCGTAAGTTTGGAATTCAAAGCGTGAAGTTTGAAGAATGCTTGACGGGTGAAGGTCTTCTGCTCTGCCACTGCCACTTTGTAATTGTACCCACTCACCCCTCGAAGTTAGGATGGTAGAAAGCAAGAAATAAAGAGTTATGAATGAAAATATATCTCCGTAGTTGGTATTGGAACTGAGACGTGAGTTGATAATTGACATGTTGTATATTCCTGTGCTATACTTCGGCAGCACTGATAATAGACGTAGAACATCTGCGTCGCTAGAACCAGGTCCTGTTCTTCGACTCAAGAGCCAGACCAGACCCATGGGGATCTACGAGTCCAGCCGGTCGCTTGAGTGTCTGAAAAGCAAAGACAATTCTCCCGTCTAGCCGCTGCTATTCATATTTGGTCCTTGGGTCCCTGTGCGTGTTGCGAAAGAGTAAACGATTAACACTGTTTCAATAATGATACTACAGTCACGACGCTTTTCTCTGCGCAATTTTTCAACACTTACAGGCGACGATACCTCGGATCGAAAAGCTCCGAGAACGAACTTGCTGAGTCTCGCAGAGACTGTACCGAAAGAAGACTGCCATCTTCGAAGCTTTTTGCTGTTACGAAATGCGACCTCCTTCTCTTATGAATGGATCCTATCAGAGGTATTGGGGATCCCGACCGAAACGTCTCTGCGCTGGCAGTCTGTATTCCTGCTGATCTCATAAAACTTAGGATCCTCATTACCTTGCCATTCACGCTTAGAATCTTAGACCGGTCCAAAATTACAAAACCTTAGACCGGTCTAAACTCAATGTGTTCATTGATTTTAGTCAATGAACACATCTAAAAGGTAAAAGGCTCATTAACTCTTTGTTGACATATCATCAACTTGCTTGAGACACAGCGAATGCTGGGCTGCGGGAACAATATCTATAAATGCCAGACATGAATCCAATCAGTCCAATCTCCAATCCGAACGTAACGTCGATGCCAGGATGGTATTGGGTCATTTTATTGTACTTCTAGCATGTATTCTCGTTGGCTCCTCTACCACAGTTTTAAACAGAGCGAACTGGCCGTCATAAGCCTCTACTTCTGTCTTGTATCATTCACAATCTGACGAGTCCGATCAAAATTTCATCCGATCTATCTATAACATCCAACGTCTTCGTGCAGCAGAGTTCAAGGCAAAGGACCTAGATCATCTCGACCATCGACGAATACAGCGGCTTGCGTCAAAGATTCATCACATTCGAGAGTGATTTTTTCATTATCATGCAACCGACTCTAGGTTCCATGGGTTCTCACAAGCAGTTACGTTGCTCGAAGTTAGCTTTGGGTAAGTGAAAGACGCTGGCTCCATTTTACGATTGGTATTTTCCAGCTGTGTTCAAAGTTACCAGAATGAGCATATGATACCTTGTAGGTTTGAATGAAGGCTTTGAGACTTATTGCCAAAGCTTACTTCCAACAACGAAATTGCTTGTGAGAACCTATGGTACCTGGAATCAGTTTCATGATCATGAAAAAATCCCTCTCGAACGTGATGAATCTTTGGCGGGATTGTGCAACGAAGAGCAGTGCACACTTTTGTCTAGAGAGTTTGAATCGGGTTGATTATAACACAATAAGGCTGATGAGATATGCAACAGTTAATATGGAGGTTATGCATGCTTCACCTCAGATCTAGCTGATCTTAATGAAAATTCCTGTGTCCTGAATTCGATTAAGAATTGAATGTCTTCTTGATACTTGTCTTTCAGGATGTGATTCATTGGCGTTTGTTTATCACGTCAAGATGGTCAATGAGAAGACCTCAATCAGTTTACAGTAACCCTTGAATACTTTTCGATTTCCATTTCTACATACTGATAAAATACTTTTGTGAAAGAAAGCTTAATAAAGGATACCCGTGTATATTTACTAAAACCGCGAAAATTAAGATTTTGAATTGTAAATAATGTTAAATTTTAAGACATGTTAAGACCCTTAAGACAATTTTCAAGTATTAAAAGCCATAATATATCAATCAAAAACATTGAAATAGATGATATAATTGTTAAATGACAAAAAACATAACATTTTAATATTTTAGTTTTGAAATAATTGACACAGTCTTCAAGTGATACAATATTGTAACATGATAATTTCAAATCTTCATAGTCATCATACAGATTTCGAATGAAAAAAATACCATAACCTGACATTTCCAAATCTGGATAGTCTCCAAAGAGATTTCGAATGAAAAAAATACCATAACCTGACATTTTCAAATCTTCATAGTCTCCAAACAGATTTATAATGAAAAAACCAGAGCCCAAAATTTTCAAATCTTCAAAGTCTTCAAACAGTTTTACAGAGATGTTAACCATAAGATAATAAATTCAAATTTCCATAGAGATTATAGTATCTGTTTTTAAATTCATGTACATTTCAATATCTTCATATTTGTTTATGCGAAGAATTTATGCGTAATATCTGTATGCTTTTAAAAAGAAACAACTGACATAAAAATGAACCATTTAGAACAGAATTCAATATCAAGGTTTTTGTTCACATCCAAGTATCTGGTCTACAG